AACTCTGAGTGTGGAAATGGCAGACTATTTCCATACCCCTCTGCAGTGCCCTGAGTACCAAGGACTTGAGTGGGCTTGGCGTCTCAGTAGCAGGTGGCTGGGGTCAAGCTGGAGGAGGCAACATCTACTCAGTGGCAAGAAGAGCAACCTCAGTTTGTGAAAACAGATGGGAGTGTCTGTTTCTCTCATCTATTAGAGAGAAGAAACAGAACATACCTAGACTGTACTTCTGTATTCTCACCAACTGTATTAGTCCATTTTCAGGCTGTTGATAAAGACAGACCTGAGACTGGGTAATCTACAAAGAAAAAGAGTTTTAACAAATTAACAGTACTACATGGCTGGGGAGGCCTCACAATCATGGCAGAAGGCTAAAGGCACATCTTACATGGCAGCAGGCAAGAGAGAATGAGAGCCAAGCAGAAGAGGAAACCCCTTATAAAACCATCAGATTGCATGAGACTTACTACCAGAACAGTATGGGGGAACCGCCCCCATAATTCAGTTATTTCCACCAGGCCCCTACCACAACACATGGGAATCATGGGAGCTAGAATTCAAGATGAGACATGGGTAGGGGCCAAACCATATCACCAACACACCCAAACCATATCACCAACCCTGGCTGTGCTTCCTTTAGTTAACTGAGGTTCTGTGACCTGAGCCTGGAACCACAGTCCAAGCAGTTAGGAGAATCTGGAAATCCTAACAGTCATGGATCATTAGAGTTGTCCCCAGGGTACCTAGAGGTATTTCCCAGTGTATCATATCTCAGCGTAATGCGTGTTAATATTGTTAATCTTCTTCTGTTCAAGTTTAAGTGCCTGTGAAAATTATGCTCATAGTTCCCTATGACGCACGTCTCTACCACCACCCCGACCACCAAGCTGTGATGGTCAGTGAGAAGCAAGCTTACAGGGAAGAGGGGGTCTTTTCTGAGTGTGGACAACCAGTAAGAACCCCAGACGATACAGAGCAGGAGGACCATTTGAGGGTTATGCTAACACTCAGATTTCCAAAGCTGGCCCAGCTCCTGATCAAAAGCAGGAATGGAGAGCATTCTCCAGGATCCCCGCCCATCCCACTAGAAGTCATTCGTATTCCTGTGCAGTCAGCGGTTTGCAGCCAGGTTTGGCTGGGGAGGTCCCACTGCTCATTTCTCTCCTAAACCTCCCTGGTGTGCAGCCAAGTCTCCATTTTATGCAAACTTTAAAAACAGAAACGTAGGAAGAGAAACGATTCTCACGAAGGATGGAAAAATAATCTAACAAGAGATTACAGCTGTGCAGAGGGCTGGTGGGGGATCTGGGCACCTTAGCAGAACAGTTCCCGGAGGGCAGGGCAGCGTCTCACATTCTTATTCATATTGTTCCGCATGCAGACAGCTGTCATGGACAAGAGTATGAAGTCAGAATAAGTCAACTCTACGAAGGTCAACTCTAGCAAGCACGCATGCTAGGAACTGCAGAACACTGAAGTAAGTCTAGTTCCTATCCTAAAGAGTTTATAACCCACCTAGGAGAATAACATTGAAATACCTGAAAAAATGATTGAGAACAGGTTCACTTCAAAATTCACCCAAGGAGCCAGGCACAGCGGCTCACACCTGTAATCCCAACACTTTGGGAGGCCGAGGCAAGCAGATCACTCGAGGCCAGGAGTTCAAGACCAGCCTGGCCAACATGGCAAAACTCTGTCTCTACTAAAAATACAAAAATTATCCAGGTGTGGTCGCTCACGCCTGTAATCCCAGCTACTCGAGTGCCTGAGACAAGAAAATTGCTTGACCTGGGAGGTGGACGTTGCAGTGAGCCGAGATGGCGCCACTGTACTCTAGCCTGGGTGACAGAGCGAGAGTCCACCTCAATAAATAAATAAATAAAATTCACCAAAGAAATTTAAAACACAAGACAGTACACACCAAAAAAAAAAAAAAAGGCTTTTAGAATTTGGACAGTTTAGAAAGGTCAAGAAGGCCAGGCGCAGAGACTCACGCCTGTAATCTCAGCACTTTGGGCGAATCACAAGGTCAGGAGTTCGAGACCACTTTGGCCAACATGGTGAAACCATGTCTCTACTGAAAACACAAAAAATTAGCTGGGCATAGTGGCAGGCGCCTGTAATCCCACCTACTCAGGAGGCTGAGGCGGAAGAATTGTTTCAACCTGGGAGGCGGAGGTTGCAGTGAGCGGAGATCGTGTCACTGCACTGCAGTCCTGGCAACAGAATGAGACTCGGTCTCAAAAGAGAAAGAAGAGGGCTAAGCATAGGAGGTGGTGTTGCCCTTGGGGTACCAGATATCACCAAGGATTTGGGCAAAAATGTAGAGGAAGAAAAGAATGAAGAGATCTGGAGACCTGGGAGTAAACTGGTTCATGTGGGGCTGACTCATATGTGGAAGGATAAAAGGAGATGGGATTGCAAAGGTGGGCTAGGGCAGATCTAGAAATGCCTTGTTTGCCGACCCGAGGGCCTAAGTCTTTATTCTCTATCCACTGGGCAGCCACTGAGGGCTGTGGCAAGGAGGGAGCAACCAAGTACAGCACTGGAGAGTGAGAGCTCAGAGGCTCCAGATGAGCTTGAATTTCCACCACCAGTCAGTCAAGGTTCCTATCCATCTCCAAGGCTGTCTCCTCAGAGATAAAACGGGGATGAAAATCCTGCCTACTGATTCGTAAGGTTGCTGTGAGGTTTAAGTGGAATAATAGATGTACTTAGCAGTATGCCTGGCATGCAGCAAATAATTAACAGATGTTTGCATCCAGAGAGAGGAGTAAGGGCATGTTAGGAGTGGAACTGGGAAATATACAGATGGGAGGGACAGGAGACTGGAAATTGAGTGGCTGGATGGAAGGTTATCCCAGTGACCCACCAATAAGGTAGCAGAGGCAAATGCAAGAATGGCCAATGTGAGAGGCCGCACAAAGAAAAGGCAAACGAGACATGAACCGGATAACAGAGTTTAATGCAACCAAGAGCCCATGTCTAGGAGATCAGCATAGACTTTGGTACTCAGAATAAATACAGAGGAGTCCAGAGGCAGGGCCAATTTGGCGGGCACAAGAAGTTCTACAGACACTGTTGGGAGACTGGGACTCAGAGCGTCAGTCAGACCTGTGCCATGGATCTGGGGAAGGGATCCCAGGGGAAGGCCAGTGTGTAGAGAAGTGCTAAGGGACAAAGATGGTGGCACTGGGAAAATGCTCCCACTAAGGAGCAGGAGAAGGCAAAGAGGTTAGTAAAGGACACAGAGAAGAAATAAAGAGGAAGCAGAAAAATTGAGTTACCGGGAACAGAGAGGGTGATCAACAGAGTCGGATGAATCAGGAAGAGCAAAGAGAACACGTGCTGTTTAAGGTGTGCTGGTGACTTCCACAAAGAGCAATTTAATAAAGCATGAGTGGCAGCCATGAAGGGGGCCATGAGTCTAAATCTGGGAGGCCTGGCACTGAGCAGAGAGGAAAACCATGGGACTGACAGCTGGAGAGTCTCTGTGTGAAAACGTTTCCTCTCGGTGGGGCCCTCTGCATTCCAAAATTCACAAAAGGTAAAGCAAGCAAAGGAGAGTGACACCTTCTGCTATGAGAGATCAGTTTCTTGGGAACTGCTCTAGAAACATGGCTCCTTTCCAGCTATTCTAGGACAGTGGCTGTCACCCATTTCAGCCTCCTTTCAGGAAGCCTCTGAGACAATAATGATGTCAGCAGGCCTTCGGCTGCTTCTCCTTTCTATTCTGTTTGGCAGAAAAATAAAGAGGTGCACAGAAGAAAAGGAGAAGCTCTGCAAGGGGAATCTTCAGGGAGAGGACAGAAGTTGGCATCTAGTTTTAGAGTCTGCACAGCTTCTGGCAACCCCCCCCCCCCCCCCCGTCTGACAGCTGCCAGCCCTGACCATACCTTAGAATCACCTGTGACACCCGTAAAGCTGCCAGCAGCTGGACCTCACCTCGGACACACTCATCCAATTGGTCTGGAAGGGAGCCCAATCGTTTGGTTTTCTTTTTCTTTTTAACTTCCTAGGTGATTCTAATGTACAGCCAAGGTCAAGAGCCACTGCCCAAGGGGCTCCCTCTCATAAACACTTAAAGCACACGTTTCACAAACAAACAGAATTTTTCAGCGATTGATTTTGAAAGTGCCAGTTAGAATGTCTAGCTTAGCAAACAATAATAGGTTTGGTTTGTGAGCCAACACCATTTGATTGGTATGGGCAGGGTACAGAGAGATGAGAGGGACCCCGAGCCAGGACTCAGTTTAAAAGAGCACAGTGGTCAGTGAATGATGTCTGCCCCAGGTTTGAGGGAGGGGGGATGGCTCATATGTAGTCACCCTGGGTCTAGCTCCTCTAATCCTATCATGGCCTTCATAAAATAGACTCAAACCATGTGAACATGCAGACTCTAGGAGCTCTCCACCCCAGCAGTGCCTGGCCGGGATGAGCATCAGCAGCCTCTACGGCAGCAGTTACAAGTGTCCTCCCAGAGCAGCAGCATGAAATGCAATGCTCAGGCCCACCAGAGACCTCCTGAATCAGACACTCGAGGGGTGGAGCCCAGAATCTGTGTTTTAACAACGGATACATACTATCATTGAAGAACTATTACTCTAGTGGACTTAAAAAAACAACGCACAGATTCTTAAGCTCCATCAGGAGCCACTGAAACAGAACCTTTGGAAACAGAGCCCGGAAACGTGTATTTTAAGCAAATGGTGCTAATGCGCAGTCAGGCTTGAGTACCACTGACCTAGTATTGCTCTCCGTCGGTTTCATTTCTCAATAGCATTACTAAAAGCAAACTATTCAGAGACCTGCTTAATGATAATTACCTTGGGAAGGTGCTCAACAATGCATACAGCTGGTCACCTCCAGCAGTTCTCCTACCCTTCTCAGAAGGTTATTTTCTTCATTTGCAAAATGAAGATGCTCTGATCGCACAAGACTGGGTTGCTGTGGCAACCACGGAGTGAGCGCAGCTGGCTTAGGGTGTGGCCACGTGTCGGGTACTGAATGATTCTACTTGAAAGACAGAAAAAAAAAGGGAAGGAAGAAAGGAGAGGTGGGCACAAGACAAAATGAATCTCTCCGCTATGCACATGGAGCCTTAGCTCTGATTTCAGTTGAGCAAAATTATGGTGACGATAATTCCCCACATGGAGCACAGATACACACCCTGAGGCGAGGCACTCACTCTCCAAAGGCCCTCTGAAGGATCCTGCATGTCCTGACTGCACAGCCTGCTCCTGTAAGTGTATACTTTTGTTTTGCTCCTGTCAGAAATCATGCTACAATAATTATTTACCTGACGTTAAAACAGCAAGCTCATGTCAACTCTTGGCTGGAGACTTCTGGAAACCAAGACACCACAACATCCATTTGCCTCACCCTGTCATGTGTGAAAATTTTTAATTTACCTAGGAAATCGTGCAGGCCATGGGACGGGGGCAGGCAGCATGGTGTGGCGGCTTGGAGACAGCTTCTGCGGGTTGGATTCTGTCTTTGACTGGTGGTGGGGTGACCAGCCCTACACCAGGACCAGTTGAATCCGCCTGTTCGCCATGGCTCTTTCACACCAGTATCTCTACGGCTTCCTTCAGCCCTCAAGGTAAAGCATAAGTTCCCCACCTGCCTTTCAAGCCTTTCAGATCTGTCCTTCCTAACTCACCAGTTCCTGCTTTCCTCTTCCCAGAGGAAGATCCATCTAGGTGGGCCCTTGACAGCCATGAAATACACCCTTAACTCATGTGGTTACCAAACTTTTGCCAGCCTCTCTCTCCTGTTTTTTGTCACTGTCATCCTTCGAAGCCAAGGCCAAGTCCTAGAACTGAATGAGCCTCTTCTGTCAATCTCAGCCCTGGTGTCTCCCTTCCCTCTGCAAACACCTAACTCCTCTGCCTCCAATCTCAACCTTGTTTTGAAATTGCCATATTTACCTTCATCCTTTCCACCCCTTTTGCCTTATGAACACTTGACAGACATGAGTAGGGTGACCTTGTAATTCACTGTCTAATCAGGATCACTTTTGAGAGTGAAAAGAGGCACTATTAATAACTATATCAGGATAACAAGCATAAGCAATGATTGTCCTAGGCAAAGTAGGATGTCTGGTTGCCTTAAAATTAGTACCATCTTACATTTCTTTATATCCCTCTCAGCACCTGGGTCTTATAAACATGAGTTGATAAAGTGAAATGCTGGGAACTAAGCTCGCTGTTGATGGAGGTTTAGGAAGATTAATCTGGCAGTGCCGTGTAGGGTAGATGAGAGCTAGAATAACAGCTCACAGTTATGAATAGAAATGAGTAAGTGACATGCTGCTTTTATTTCGTTCTCTATAGAAATGCAAATGCAGCTCAGGGGCTGATGTAAGGTTGAAACAAGTCTTGCATGAGAAACGCGGTTTGCATAGTTTAATACAATTTAATATCTACTCATGGCCAGCTACGCATCTGTCTCTAATTCCACAGCCACGGTCCTTTCAAAGTCATTGCCTTTGGATGTAAGTTTCTCAGAGAGAATGAGCCTTGTATCCAATGCCTGGAAAGCAAAAGCATTTGGCCACCAAGTTCCTCTTCACCCTCACCAAGCAGCTTTTCCCGTTTTGTTTTTAGCTCCAGAGTTAGGACAATGGACAAGTCAATCAGTCCAGATTACCCTGCACCAGGGAGGAGAGACACCTGACAGCTATGCCCTTCACCAAGTCCACAGAGACAAAGGCACAAGGGTAATAGAAGCTGCAGGGAGAACGCAATTCTCATCAACCCTTGGGGTTGCCGCATTGTTTTTGCTCTGTTTTCCAGAAAGTCTAATGGAGGAGAAAGGGTGTGAGGAAGGGAGGGCCTTGCCTATTAGCAGATATTTCAATGCAGTCATCACCCTCCCGCCATTCAATGTCAGGGATCAGCCCTTGCAAAGGAGCAGTCATTGGACAATGGGCACAATCAGGGATCTGGGCTTTTCTGTCCTGCTGCACATTCGACCCGCCTTCCTCTGCTGAAAGGGCTGCTTTTCCACTAGCCATGCCCCATGTATGGAAAAAAATTCTACCTCTGGTTTGCTCTTATTGGTACCCACCCACTGCAAACTAAAATTGCATGAAGCAGAGGCCACGATGGTTTTCGTAGTACAATGAATACGTAAAGGCCTCAATCAATGATGACTAGTTAATTATGGAAACTTGAGAAGAGGGACTATTTATTCCTTACCTCTCACTGAGGAGTTTAGAGGCTTTCATTGGAAATATCAGTGATCACCTGAAATGCCTTGCAATAATAACTGGTAGGCCCATTTTACAGTTTATCATGTACTAGGTTCTGTGAACTTGAACCAGACATTGTCTTAGCTTTCAGGGCCTCCACAGGACAAAGCCAATGTCACAGAAGGTTAAGTGACTTGCTGAAGGCCCTAGAAGTCCAGCTTGGAAGACTAAGAACTTAGCATCCCTGTGGATCCTGCCAGCCCTGGTAACTTTCCCAGAGAGGCCCAGCTGTTGAGCTTAATCTCAGAGTCACTGGAACAACCACTTCAAGGTTGAATTATTCAGCCCAATCACATGGGAGGATTACCTAATTAAGTGGCTCTGCCACTTGAGGGGCAAGGAGAAGTTGGGCATTGAGAAACAGGTTGCTCTTCCATGAAAATAGGTCACATGGTTGAAATCCCGGAACCATGGGCAGGACCAGGTTGTATAAATGAGGTTCAGCTGCCCTGGCTCCCACTGCCACCCTGGCACACAAAGTTCATTCATCCATTTGCTCCGTGTCTTCATATTTGCTATTCCCTCATCCCAGAATCATGGCCTCTTCCTTTTTCCCTCGGGATAATTCCTTCCCCCCCACCCCGCCATTGCATCTTACTTATTTATTTTTTTAAATTGTCCCTGGACAATTCTTACTTGGCTTTTAAGATTCAGCTTAGAAATCTTCTCTTTGAGTCTCTATTTCTTCCTCTGTATAAAGGGGACAACAGTAGCTTCTACTACACAAAGTTGTTCAGGATTAAAAAACAGATAATTTGTTAAAAGCACAGTGCCCGGCCTAAAGAGAGTGTTTAATAAATGTTGGTTGTCTCTGTCATCATCTCACTCTCCTCTGTCATCCCAAACTCCGGCCAGACTTTAACCATTGCAATCACCTCCTAACTGCACTGCTCTTGTTTATTCTTATCTCTTTCATTAGGCTCTGGGCTCTTCCAGGGAGGGGCAGGCACATCACCAGCATATCTCCAGGACCTGGCACAGAGTAGGTGTTCAATAAACCTCCCGCATTATTTGAATCAATGAATAAATCCATATTAAACAACAAGCCCTCCTCCTGCGGGTCTGTGTGTCTATGTGACGTGTCTTCCCTGTGAAAGGCACAGGAAGAAAATAAAGGAAGAGAAAGGGATGTTCTCATGCTATTCAGAAATATTCTCAAAGATTCTACATAATTCATGTGTACTTTGACATTTTATGGCCTTCATTTTCTCTGAGTGCTTTCTATAGATGCTGTTGTCATTTTTTCACTATCAGGACAATGCTCTCAAAGCCACTGTTGTAATACAAAGTGAAAAATTAAAGCAGATCCATGTGGCCTCAGCAGAACGAAAGCAAGGTAGGCCAAAGAGAAATCAGGTAATGCATGGATTTATGGTCCAAATCATAACCTGTTTGCATAAACTACCAATGTCACAGGAGGAAAAAGATACCCCACTTTCCAATGGCCAACATATTTTGAACAATATTCAACACCATAAAATTCCAGTAAAGGACCTTTAAATTAGGTATAATGCTTTTTCCACCCTAAGATCTTTATATTTGGCTTATATGGAGTCTTGTATCTGGGATGGAGCTGAACGTGTATTAAAAGTGACCGCTTTACCAGCCTAACCAACATGGTGAAACCCCATCTCTACTAAAAATACAAAAATTAGCTGGGCTTGGTGGTGCATGCCTTATAATCCCAGCTACTGGGGAGGCTGAGGCAGGAGAATGGCTTGAATCCAGGATGTGGAGGTTGCAGTGAGCCAAGATCATGCCTCTGCACTCCAGCCTAGGTGACAGAACAAGACTCCGTCTCAAAAAAAAAAAAAAAAAAGGGATCGCTTTTTGCTTAGATAATTAACGGTTTTAAAGAGGTTGCTCTTAGGGAAATGTAGGTAAGAAAACCTGGTGGCAGCAAGGTAAACTCTGTGGCCAATGCGCTTAGCTCAAAGGTTTTAATGCAATTTAAAAGGCTGGTTTACACCCCATGGGAGACTTATCAGTTAGCAGAAACTCAAGGTCATCCTAAAGGCAGGGAAGAAATGGGTTTAGTGTTCAGCATAGGGAGAGCCAAAAATTGGGTTTGGGGACTGGGTGGGTCTCAGAGACAAAAATTACCATGAAAACAAAAACAAAACAAAACAACAAATGAAACTACTCCCATGACATTTCAGGTCAGCGTGAGGCAAATCTAATGAAGGACAGTCGTATATGACCAGGATGGAATGTAGGAGCCTACATGTAACTAGAGCACAAACAGGGGACATTCCAAGGAGCAAGCCACCACTTTCTAGAGACCAATGGAGATGGTGCCATGAAAGCAGATGGGAGGATGTACATCACCGGGGTTCAGAACTTTGCAGCCAGTCTCCTGGGTTTAAATCCATGCCTCTGCCACTTGGTAGTGGTGAATTTAATGTCTCTATGCCAAGGTCTCCTCATCTATGAAATTGAGAAAAAAATGTCTGCCTTAGATGGTAAATGTGAAAAGTTAACAGGTCAATCCTTATAAAGTGCTTAGTTCAGGGACTGGGACATGGTAAGAATTCTGTCAACATTAACCATCTGTGTCACTCTTAACAAGGGCATGGGGCATGGAGAACCTGGACCAAGGACCATGCTGCCTCATCTCACACAGCAATGTTTCCTAAGTGTGAGATTTTGGGACACCTGCTTCTTCTCCATAGTGACAAGCAGCAAATTCCTTAAGCTACAAGGGCTGGGAGGCTTGTCTTCAATGGCAGCCCCCATCAGAAGTCCAAAGAAGCCCAAGAGACTGAGAAGGAGGAGAATACTTTAAAGAGGAGCCCCTTCAACTACAGAGTCCTCAATATAACAGCAGAAATGACCCTGTGCCTCCAAATGTGTGGTTTTAGAGGCAGATCTAAGCTGATTCCTCAAGAACAAGTCCAGGGAGAAGATGACAACATATAACCAGCAGCTGCCTTAGAATGCAGGGGGCAGCCACAATGCTGCCTCTGCAGGAGGATTTACCAGTTTAAATCGGTGGTTCTCAAAACTGTAGGAAATTTTGTGCCCAGGGGGACATGTGCCAAAGTCTGGGACATTTTTAGCTTGTCACAACTGGAGAGTTTCTTACTGGCATCTTGTGGGTAAAGATCACGGATGCTGCTAAAATTCTAACAGCTCACAGGACAATCCCACAAGAAATAATTATGTGGCCCACAAAACAAACACTTTCAAGGCTGGGGAACTCTGATGTAGATTATTCAGGCCTGGGTAGATAGTACCCATGACATTAGAAAGAAAGTGCCTTGAGAAGAAACATGTTTGGGTACCCAGCTTTAAAGAGGTTGGTCTTAGGGAAATTTAGGTGCCTGGCATTTGTCACAGCAACAGATAGTAACAACACCACCTACATAGTATTTACTATGAGTCAGACAATATTCTAAACCTCTTATCTGTACCTCATGCCATCCTCAAGACAACCTATGTGATAGGTACTATTATCACCCTCATTTTACAGATGAGGAAACTGAGGCACCAGGCTTTGCCCAACGTCCAGAATTACTAAGCAGCAGGATTGGAGTATTAACCAGGCAATCTGGCTTCAGAGTCTGCTATGGTTTGGCTGTGTCCCCATCCAAGTCTCATCTTGAATTGTAGCTCTCATAATTCCCATGTGTCATGGGTGATAACTGAATCATGGGGCAGTTTCCCCCCATACTGTTCTCATGGTAGTGAATAAGTCTCACAAGATCTGATGGTTTTATAAATGGGAGTTCCCCTAAAGAACTCTCTCTTGCCTGCCGCCATGTAAGGCATGCCTTTGTTCCTGCTTCAACTTCTTCCATGATTGTGAGGCCTACCCAGCCACGTGGAACTGTGAGTCAATTAAACCTCTTTCCTTTATAAATTACCCAGTCTCAGTTATGTCTTCATTAGTAGCCTGAGAACAGACTAATACAGAGTCCAAGTTCACGTGGTAAGCACTTGATACAGTTGATGAGTTAACGGCAAAAAATAAATGGACATGGCTATAAGCAAAAGCATGCATCAAATGTATTTAAAAAATATAAAGAGAATACAATTAGGAACAAGAGGACATTGACTTCTGCTCTGTTTCTCCAAACTAACCAAGGAATGCACGTCATTAGTAGGGAAGGAAGACAGCTGACACAGGAAGGCTCCACTTGCCAAATTCCTACATCATCAAAAATCAGATCACATCATCACAGGGAGGAGAAGACAGACCACTAACATACAAAGACAATGCCCAGCTGACTGTACTATGATTCATTTTGTTGACCAAAGACTAAGATTTGTGGCCTAAGTGATAAGTTATGCTGTCTGTCAAAACTTTGTTTTAACTGTAATCTGGCCTGGAAACATAACATAGTGGGGAATTTAGAAGTTATTTAAAAAACACCATTTAATGGTTTGGGTTTTATGTGTATAAGTGTGGGAGGGAATGGAAATTTTGAGAAAAAAAATAAAGTACATAAAATACTCATTTTTCTCTGGACCATTTATAGTCCGAAAGTCACTTTGTTACGGTTGAAATGCACAAAAATACTACTCTGTAAAATTGGGTTTGTTTATAAGAAGCCCACATTTAAGATATGGGTATCAGAGCAGACTTTGTTCAAACATTAATAACAAATTTATAATGTATTTATTTTTCAATATTGCTATAAATGGAATGACAAACTTCCAGAGGAAGGAATTTATACTCTCAGATTGTGTGGGGCTCTGTGAAGCAGGCAAACCCTAGAACAAAAGAAATATTCATATATAGAAAAACAAAGTTTTTTTGCCCCTAAACTTAGTAATGATTAAGTACCAAAAAGAGTTCTTTAAGAAATCAGGGCAGAGAGTGTCACAGAGCAGGAACACTCAAAAGTTAATGTATATCATTTTTGTCACATAAAATGGGGGCTGGTAGACCCAGTTTTCCCCATGTCTTCAGTTTACATGATCCCCAGTGTCTGCCTCCTCTGATGGTCTCTCAGCATCTTCTGCAAACAGAATCTGTGACCCAAGATTTTGTTTTGTAGCTAAAATTAGCTAAAATTCTAATAGCTCACATGACAATTCCATAAGAAATAGTTATCTGGCCCACAAAACCAAGTTTCAAGGCTGGGGAACTCTGCTATAGATAAATCATTTAAGATATGTGCCCATCGATGACAGACTGGACAGGGAAAATGTGGCACATATACACCATAGAATACTATGCAGCCATCAAAAACGATGAGTTCGTGTCCTTCATAGGGACATGGATGAACCTGGAAACCATCCAATCTCAGCAAACATGACACAAGAACAGAAAATCAAACACCCCATGTTCTCACTCATAGGCGAGTGTTGAACAATGAGAACACATGGACACAGGGAAGGGAGCATCACACACTGAGGTCTGTGCGGGGGAACTAGGGTAGGGACAGCAGGGGATGGGGAGTTGGGAAGGGATAACATGGGGAGAAATGCCAGATATAGGTGAAGGGGAGGAAGGCAGCAAACCACATTGCCATGTATGTACCTATGCAACAATCCTGCATGTTCTTCACAGGTACCCCAAAACCTAAAATACAATAAAATATATATATTTTAAAAAATAATAATAAGATATGGGTATCAGAGTAGAGTTTGTTCAGGCACTAATATATTTAGGCCACCAGAGAACAACTCCTTTCACAATCTAGATATGGAGGGAAGTGAAGAAAGCAAGAGTTAACAATAGGAGCCAGGCAGATCTGCCTTGAAGGAAGAGGAATGATTATCGCTTCTTTCTGGTCTTCTTGCCACCAGGTTAACACTAGGATGGCCAGGATCAAGTCTCCTCCACAGGAGAGAGTTGGTTGATATCACTAGATGGGAGAATGATGAAATAACAATTAAAGTCAACTCAGCCAAAGCTAGAGATGGCAAAGAGGAACTCTGTCCACGGTGGAGAAGTCCATAAACATTGATAGAGATGTTCCTTCTATGTTCCATGTTATGCCTCTGACTCACGGGTACAGCATACTCCAAAAGAAGTCAGAGATTTGAAGGGGAATACTGGCCCTCAACGAAGAAGAGGCTAAGATGCCAGGACTGTACCATTATTCCCGAACTAAAAGCCCGAAGATGTTCTCCTTCTGCCACATTGTAAAGGGTTTTCCAAACACAAACACAAAGTTTTAAGCTTATTGCTCCATTTTTAACAGAAGCAAATTAGATTTTTCTGCTCTTGACTCTGAATCCAAGAAATTTAGAGCAGGATGAATTAGTGAACACTGAAATTCTTTTCTTAATAAGGTCTTTTTACTCCAATTTCTTCATTTTTTCATAAGTAGAAATGCTCTTAATTTTTCAGCAGCAGTCAGTTATATTTATACCATTAGAAACAGAAGGTTTGACAAATACCA